CTCCCTGTCCATCACCAACTCCTGGAGCTTACTCAAACCCATGTCCATCGAGTGCGTGATGCAATCCAACCATCTCATCCTCTGTCCTCCTCTTCTCCTCCCACCTTCAATCTTTCCCAGCATCAGGGTCTTTTCCAAGGAGTCCGTTCTTCGTATCAGGTGGCCAAAGTATTGGAGTTTCAGCTTCAGCATCAGTCCTTCCAATTAATATTCAGGACTGATTTCCTTTAGGATGGACTGGTTGGATCTCTGTTGCAGTCCAAGGGACTCTAAAGAGTCTTCTCCAACACTACAGTTCAAAAGCTTATCTGAGCTTACTGATACGTCTTCAGGCAATCTTGATTGCAGCTTGTGCTTCATCCAACCCAGCATTTTGCATGATATACTCAGCATATAAGTTAAATAATTTGGAACCGGTCTGTTGTTTCATGTCCAGTTCTAACTGTTGCTTCTTGACCTGCATACAGATTTCTCAGGAGGCAGGTCAGGTGGTCTGGTATTCCCATCTCTTGAAGAATTTTCCAGTTTGATGTGATCCACACAGTCAAAGGCTTTGGCATAGTCAATAAAGCAGCAGTAGATGTTTTTCTGGAACTCTCTTGCTTTTCCGATGATCTAGCAGATGTTGGCAATTTGATCTCTGGTGCCTCGCTGCCTTTTCTAAATCCAGCTTGAACATCTGGAAGTTCACAGTTCACCTACTGTTGAAGCCTGGCTTGGAGAATTTTGAGCATTACTTTGCTAGCATGTGAGATGAGTGCAATTGTGTGATAGTTTGAATTTTCTTTGGCGATTGGGAGTTTGGAAAGCTGGATTCTTGTTCCAGGTCATAGGTACAAGTACAGAAGATTAGAAAGGAGAAAGGCTATAGAAACACCTATGCATGTGGTTCATAGACATGAAGTAATTTACCCAGGGTCACATCTTTGTGATACACTCCACTCCAGTGCTTTTTCCCACTACAACATGCATAATCTCACTTAATTAAAAGTCAGTGTAGTATTCATCCTTAAAATATTCTAGTGAGCTTCCCTTTCCTCTTTCATCACTTCAGTTATATGGACTTCTTAGACTTTAATGGTATCTTAATTGTTCTTACCACATTCCTCTTTTTATGGGCAAAATTAGAAATGTCAGTGGTATGTAGCAGTATTAAAAAAGTTTTTCACTTTACTCCTCGTTAAGTATTTTCACTCAGTTTAGCATCTGCAGTGTGTCAGACATTATGTTCAACACAGAGTTGCCTCAATCACTCTTAGAAGGGAATCGTTGAAATTAAACACCTAGGATTATAGGTGTAATTCTCTCATCTTTCACCATCTCTCTCTACTTTTCTTCAGCTTATGACTTGAAATGAGCTCTATGTGCTTCATTTTTCTCATCCATAAAAAATGGAGATGTTAATAATATCTATCTCACATGGCTGGTGTGGAGATTAAATACATTAATAATGTGTACAGGCTTACACATTAGAATATGCTTGGCATTAAGTAAGGATGTGTAATTGCTTGCTACTCTTATCTTGGTCTATTTAGCTTTAGAATTCATTTTTGGATGAGTGATCATTCTCATACCAGATGTCATATCTTTGTCTATTTCAGTGAGATATTTCTTCTTAGTTACTAAGTACTAGTAGAGTGCCAAATGATTATAAGACAAAATGACTTCCCTTGAGATCCTTCCTGGTCTTCCTATGTCCTCCCTTGCTGCCATTGCTGAATCTACTGGTTTAATGCACTTTGAAGAGGGATCTTAGATACTTGCACAGCAGTGATTAAAGATGGCAGCAGTGTTTTGTGTTAAATACCGGTAGTTTGAACAGTGACAGTGTATATTTTCTTAGTGACTTGCATGTAAAATCTGTGTGAATAAGCAATATATTTTGTTTTATCCTTTTTTTAAAGTCTAGTTTTCTGAATTACCAGTAAAATTTAATTGGTATAAAAATCAATCTGATCTTTCTGCTTTATATAAAAACTGGAAAGAAAGTTTCTTTTAGTACTGAGATGACATTTGGGTTTTCTTATTTATTTTAGATTCTTTTTTTAAAATTTATTTTTAATTGGTGGATAATAGATTTACAGTGTTGTGTTGATCTCTGCCATACAACAGCATGAACCAGCCATAAGTATACATATGTCCCCTCCCTAACGTTTTTATATTACACAAGCTTTACTGGTATCAGTTCAGTTCAGTTCAGTTCAGTCGCTCAGTCGTGTCCGACTCTGCGACCCCATGAATCGCAGCATGCCAGGCCTCCCTGTCCATCACCAACTCCCGGAGTTTACTCAAACTCATGCCCATCGAGTCGGTGATGCCATCCAGCCATCTCATCCTCTGTCTCCCCCTTCTCCTCCTGCCCCCAATCCCTCCCAGCATCAGGGTCTTTTCCAGTGACTCAAATCTTCACATGAGATGGCCAAAGAACTGGAGTTTCAGCTTCAGCATCAGTTCTTCCAATGAACACCCAGGACTTATCTCCTTCAGGATGGACTGGCTGGATCTCCTTGCAGTCCAAGGGACTCTCAAGAGTCTTCTCCAGCACCACAGTTCAAAAGCATCAATTTTTCGGCACTCAGCTTTCTTCACAGTCCAACTCTCACATCCATACATGACCACTGGAAAAACCATAGCCTTGACCAGACGGACCTTTGTTGGCAAAGTAATGTCTCTGCTTTTTAATATGCTGTCTAGGTTGGTCATAACTTTCCTTCCAAGGAGTAAGTGTCTTTTAATTTCATGACTGCAGTCACCATCCGCAGTGATTTTGCAGCCCAAAAAATAAAGTCTGACACTGTTTCCACTGTTTCCCCATCTATTTCCCATGAGGTGATGAGACCAGATGCCATGATCTTAGTTTTCTGAATGTTAAGCTTTAAGCCAACTTTTTCACTCTTATCTTTCACTTTTATCAAGAGGCTTTTTACTGGTATAGTGAATCCATTTTACTAAAGGCCATATGTTTATTTTTGTGACTCAGGTTTTCCTCTCTATGTCCTTTGTTCAAAGGTTCAGTGAATTCTGTACCTATACAGAAAGTTGATAGAACTCACCTAATTACAAATTGAATGCAGTGTTTTGGTTTAAGTTTGGAATTTTAAAGTAATCTTCTCTTGGATAAAGTGTCTTCTTACTTCCCTTTTTATTAGACCTAAAGCACTGATTAACAGTTGAATTGTTTTGGATACTGCCCTAAGAAAACTTCTATCTTCCCTTTAAGTGGATTATTGACCCTGATTTGGGTTTCTACATAGATTAAAAAAAAATAGTAGTGGTATTTTTAGTAGTGCTGGTAGTGGTAAAGAACCTGCCTGCCAATGCAGGAGCCACATCTCTTGCCGATGGAGAGACACAAGTTCGATCCCTGGGTCAGGAAGATCCCCTGGAGTGGGGCATTGCAGCCCACACCAGTATTCTTTCCTGGAGAATCCCATGGACAGAGGATCCTGGCAGGCTGCAATCCATAGAGTCCCACACAGCTGGACACAACTGAAGCAACTCAGCATGCATGCACATAGTACATACATAGGACATACTAGCTTCACTGTAATTGTTACGTTGCATGCTAAGTCATTTCAGTCGTGTCCGACTCTTTGCTACCCCATGGACTGTAGCCCGCCAGGCTCCTCTGTCCATGGGATTCTCTAGGTGAAAATACTGGAGTGGGTTGCCATGCCCTTCTCCAGGATAGTTACTTTAGTTAAACAATATTGTTTTTTCAATAATGTCAGAATAACACAAACATTTTCTATTTCTCAACTGAGCTATGAAGGTAAAAATGTGCCTAGAACCTGTCAAAGAATTAGGAATTTTCATGATGTCTGTAACAGTAACTGTTATGTTGGAATCCATCCCCACTTCCACTGCCCCAGCACCCATTCTTCAAAGAACACAAGCTGCAGCAAGGTACTGCAGTCATTAGCATTTTAAGCTACACTTGTTCAATAATGCAAATTATTTTAGTTTTTATATCATTTTAGAGGGATGAGGCATTTATTTAGGTATACAGTAGAGTTTTTTTGCAGTCTTAACAAAAATATCTTTGTACAGAATTTATTGTGTATGTCTATCACCGTAAAATCTTTCCTACTTAGGACCACATATTTTCTGCTATGAATACTAATGCTGACTGAACTCAGTATTGTTATTTGATTATTTTCAGGTAATGCTTGATTTAGGCTTGATAGATTTGTTTACAGCTTAGAGTATAAAGTAAACATGAAATTATATAATATATGTATCTTGCCTCATTCCATATGTAGCCTCATTCTGCATGGTATTTTATAGTTTTGTCTATTATTGCAGGCATATAAGTACTTATAATAAATATTGTATTTAATCATCTTTCCAACTTGTTCTGTCTTTATTTTTAAGTGCTGCTGCTAGGAAGTACCAATTTAGACATATATGCTTCACATAATTTTTTACGCACATACTTTTTGAAAGTGAAAAGAAAAATAGGATATAATTGATTTAGGTAAATCACTGTAATTGTCTGAAGAAGTGAAGAAGTGAAGTTGCTCAGTTGTGTCTGACTCTTTGCGACCCCATGGCCTGTAGCCTACAAGGCTCCTCTGTCCATGGAATTTTCCAGGCAAGAGTACTGGAGTGGGTTGCCATTTTCTTCTCCAGGGGATCTTCCTGACCCAGGGATCAAACCCAGGTTTCCCACATTGCAAGCATACGCTTTACCATCTGAGCCACCAGGGAAGCCCATAATTGTCTGAAGGCTGACGTAAAACCAGGTTTATACCAATAGCAGTTTCTAAAGTAGCTATAGCTAGAAATTAAAAATAAATCTGTAAATGAGATAATTCTTTATAAAACTGAATGCCATATTTGTGTTTTTGAGCACTCAGAATTCAAAGCACATGCTTTAAATTATATTTTGGTTTAATATCATTAATACTTCAGTCAAAGTATTGAAATTTCATTTCCTCCAGCTTTGGAAATCTGATATTTTCTTTGGTCTGTGGTTTAATATTTAATTGCAGAACAAAATGGCAGATGCTGAAGCAGGCAAGAAGATCTTTATTCAAAAATGTGCTCAGTGCCACACAGTGGAAAAAGGTGGAAAACACAAGACTGGTCCAAATCTCTGGGGCCTTTTTGGCAGAAAAACAGGACAAGCGCCAGGATTTTCTTATACTGAGGCAAACAAAAGCAAAGGTAAAAGCTAGGCGGTTGTTGGAGCGATCCAGAAACTTCATAGCAAAGAAGAAAGCACAGGATTTGATATTATAATAGTTTCCTAATTTGCAGTATTAAAAATGAAATCCACATGTTTATATTACAAAAATATTAATGTATATCAAAAGATCTGTGTTTGGATAACTGGTCATGTTTTTATCAGCGAAATTAACAATCCTCTGTAGCATTAATTTTTTGCCTATACAAGGCACTTCATTTTATTTAATACATTTATCTTGAAAAAGCATAAGCTAAATTTAAAAAATCAAATTATGTTTTAATGGCATAATGGTAATTTTCTATTTGTGTTAGTGATTCTTAGCAGGGTGAAAAAGTATATTCAATTTAAAAACATATATTCAGTTATTTTTCAGCTTGAAAAAGTATAGTCAGTCATTTCTTTGTTGATAGAAGGTATGTAGATGGCAGTTAGTTTTATGTTGAAATTAAAAATAGTTGCAAAAGACTGTAATATGTTTGCAAAGCAATTTATTACTCCTGGGGATATCTATATCTATATATATTTATAAATATAGTTAGCATTCACTTAAAAAATAAAGTACTTCTGTGTTTTGAACTGTTCTTGGGATCTGAGCATTTCTTACTGGTCCAAATTTCAGATAACTACTATACTACTGTTTGGAAAGATTTTTATTTTACTTTATTTTATATTTCTTTTTATTTTTATAGTAGATGAAATTCACATAAATACAATTAGCCATTTTGAAGTGTAAAATTCAGAAACATTTACTGTATTCACTGTGTTGTACAATCACCACCTCTGTAGTTTCAAAGCTTTTTTGTTATCCCAGAAAAACCCTTGTACCCATTAAATAATCACTCCTCATATCTAACTACCAGCCTTTGGCAATCACTTATCTGCTGTCTCTATGGATTTGCCTACTGTGGATATTTCATATGAAAGGAATCATATAATATATGATCTTTTGTGTTTGACTTATTTTGCTTAGCATATTTTCATTGAAATTGAAGCATGTATCAGTAGTTTATTACTTTTTTATGACTGAGTAATATTCCATTGCATGTATATGTGTGTCTGTGTATATATGTATATAATTTTTTTATTCATTCATCAATTGATGGACATTTGTATTGTTTCCACCTTGTACCTATTTTAAACAGTACTGCTGTGAACATTTGTGAAAAAGTGTTTGTTTGAGTCCCTGTTTTCAGCTACCTTAAATCTATACCTAGGAGTGAAATTGCTGGATCAGTTAACTACACTTAACTTTTTGAGGAAAAGTCAAACTATTTTCCACAGTGGTTACACCATTTTTCTTTTCCATCAGCAATGGAGGAGGATTCTTATTTCTCTATATACTCACCCACACTTGTTATTTCCTTTTCTTCTCTTTTACTGCCATCATAGTGGATATGAGGGCTTCCTGGGTGGCTTAGCAGTAAAGAATCTGCCTGCAATACAGGAGATGCGGGTTTGATCCCTGGGTTGAGAAGATCCTTGGGAGAAGGAAATCACAACCCACTTTAGTATTCTTGCCTGGGAAATCCCATGGACAGAGAAACCTGGTGAGCTACAGTTCATGGGGTCTTAAAAGAGTTGGTCACAACTTAGCAACTAAAAACAACAGCAACAGTGGGTATGAAGTAACGCTGGTGACTTTGCTTTGTATTTCCTTAATGATCCATAATGTTGAACATTGTTTCATGTGCTTGTTGACCATTTGTATATTTTCTTTGGGAAAATGTCTGTTTATATTCTCTACCCATTTTTTATTTGAGTTGACTTTTTGTCAGGTTTTAAGTGTTCTTTCCGGGTGGTGCAATGGTAAAGAATCCACCTGCCATTCAGGAGACACAAGAGACATAGGGTCCATCCCTGGGTTGGGAAGATCCCCTGGAGTAGGAAATGGCAACAAGGCTCCAGTATGCTTGCCTGGAAAGTTCCATTGAAAGAGGAGCCTAATGGGCTACAGTTCATGGGGTCACAAAGAATTGGACACGACTGAGCACACATGCACTGCACTGTATTCTGAACATTAAACTTTTATCAAGTAAGTGACTTGCAGTTTTTTTCTCTTATCCTGTAGATTGTCTTCATTTTTAAAAATAATGTCTTTTGATGAACAGTGGTTTTTAATTTGTATGAAGTCTGTTTATTTTTATTGTTGATGTTGCTTGTGTTTTGGATGTTAAATCTAAGAATCTATCACCATATCAAAGGTCATAAAGATTTACCCTATATTTTCTTCTAATAGTTTTAGTTCTTACATTTAGGTCACTGTCTTACCTCTAATTAATTATCATTAACTTTTTATATAGAGTGAGGTAGTGGTCCAACTTTATTCTCTTGCATGTGGTTATTTAGTTGTCCTTGCACCATTTGTTGAAGAGATTCATTCTTTCACAGTTGAATGGAATTTACTTGCTTGTTGAAAATCAGTTGACTGTATATGTTAAGGTTTACTTCTGGACTTTTGGATCGCTTCCATTTGTCTGTATGTCTGTTCTTGCAGACATACAGAAATGTAGCCTCTTGCCTTTCTGTTCTTATACTAGTGCCACACTGTTCTGGTTGTTGGAGCTTCCTAATAAATTTTGAAATTCGGAAGGATGAGACCTCCAACAGTGTTTTTATTTTTCAGTATTTTTTTCTTTTCAGGACCCTCTGTAACTTCCTGAGTTTGAAGATCATTTTTCCATTTCTGCAGAAAAAGGCCTTTAGCATTTTGATAGAAATTGCATAATATCTGTAAATTGCTTTGGCAAGTATTGCCATTTTAACAGTACTAACATTATATTCTATGAACGTGGGATGCCTTTCCGTTTTTTCACATGGGCGCTCAATCCGTCACGTCTGACTCTCTGTGACCCCATGAACTGTATCCCATCAGGCTCCTCTGTCTATGGAATTTTCCAGGCAAGAATACTGGAGTGGGTTGCCATCCCTACCCCAGGAGATCTTCCCGATTCAGGGTTGAAATTCATGTCTCTTGTATCTCCTGCATTGGCAGATGGAGTCTTGACCACTGCACCACCAGAGGAGCCATGTTGATCTTGTACTGTGCAACTTTGCTAAATTCATTTATCATCTCTAGTAGATTTTTTGTGATTCTTTAGTATTTCCTTTGTAGAGAATTATGTCATCTGTGAATAGAGACAGTTTTACTTCCTTTCCAACCCGAGTAGCTTTTATTTGTTATTCTTTCCTAATTGCTCTGGCTAAGACTTCTGGTAGAATTCTGAATAGCTCTGGTAAAAGTGAGAATCTTTATCTTGTTCCTGATCTTAGAGGGAAAGGTTTCCATTTTTTACCTTGAATATGGTGCTAGCTGTGGGTTTTCCATAAATTCTGTTTTTCATGTTAAGCAAGGTCCTTTCTGTTGCTAGTTTGCTGAATGTATTTTTTATCATGAAAAGCTTTTGGATTTTGTGAAATGCTTTTCTGTGTCTGTTGAGATAATCATGTGTTTTTTTTTTCCTTTTGCTCTATTAATGTTTGTATTATATTATTTTCCTATGTTGAACTACTCTTGCGTTCCTGGGATAAATCCCCCTTGGTCGTAGTGTGTAATTCTTTTAACAGTACTGTTGAATTTAACTTGCTAGTCCTTTGTTGAAGATTTTTACATAAGAGATAATTGGTTTGTTATTTTCTTGTGATGTCTTTACTTGGTGTTTGAAGAAGTTTTAAATATAGATTATTGGCAGCTGTGAGTCCTTTCATTAGTGATTTGAATTTAGTGTTAAAAAATTTCTTAATAGGTTTTATAGACCTATATAGACCAAATTGGGCTTCCCTGGTGGCTCAGTGGTAAAGAACCCGCCTAGCAATGTAGGAGATGAAGGTTCAGTCCCTGGGAAGATCCCCTGGAGAAGGAAATGGCACCCACTCCAGTGTTTTTGCCTGGGAAATCCCATGGACAGAGGAGCCTGGTGGGCTACAGTCCATGGGGCCACGAAAGAGTCAGATATGACCTAGCAGCTAAATGAGAACAACAACATGGACTGAATTACCTTCCTTGATTGAGCTTTGCAGACCATGTTGTAGGACAAAGGCTTTAATATGGGTAGTTGGCATCTCGTGTACTATTTTTTATTTTTGAGTGCACATGTAATAGCTTGCTTTTTGTCGAAAGAGAGATTCTACTTATTTCAGCCTGTATTAATGTTTCTAGTAAGATAGTGTTTGGGGTTGGTCTCGGCCTATTGCATTTCTTATTATGATTGCAGGGTGCACTTTACTTTAGCAACAACCATCAGGAAACTGGACAAAACAAAGTTTATTACTCACAGATCCTTGAGGGTACACAGCATGCCTGGGGCCACACAGTGTGGTTGCAGGTAGAGAGAGAGAGAGCACGGGCTGGGAGTTTTGCTTTTGTTGGGTTGAGGATGGGTTGCCTAGGGTTTTATGGGCTCACTCTTTCCTGGTGAATTTAAAATATAAAAGCACGAATTAAAGCCTGGGAAGGGGATAGCAAGCAGGTCCGTAAAATAGGTGTGTGGGTCCACCAGAGCTTTCCAAAGAAAGGGGACTTCATGGGCGGGCAGCCTGGCTCTCCATCTACTTGTCTAGTCATTGCTCAGTCGCTCAGTCAGGTCTGACTCTCCGTGACCCCACGGACTGCAGCATGCCAGGCTTTCCTGTCCTTCACCATCTCCCGGAGCTTGCTCAAACTCATGTCCATTTAGTCGGGTGATGCCATCCAGCCCAATCGTCCTCTGTCATCCGCTTCTCCTCCTGCCTTCAGTCTTTCCCATCAGGGTCTTTTCCAGTGAGTTGGCTTTTTAGAGTCAGGTGACCAAAGTAATGGAGCTTCAGCCTCTGCATCAGTCCCTCCAATGAATATTCAGGATTGATTTCCTCTAGGATTGACTGGTTTGATCTCCTTGCAGTCCAAGGAACTCTGTGTAGCTGGCAGTGCATTTATTTAAAATGTGTATATTTGAAGGAGTTGCCTCAGCAATTGAAAGCTTAATGTTCAGCACTTACATTA